AACTCTACATCAATTCTAGTTATATTGTGAAAAGAAGTTCTGTGGTTAGAGACTATTTGATATTATTAATTTGTAGAGCATATATTATTATTTAGTTGTGACAGGAAATTATAACACACGTTGTTCTATAGAGCACCCTTAGCTGCACTGTCTGTTGAAAACGTTTATTACACGTCGTTTTATAGTGTCGCTATGTATTTAGTTTGCAACTGGAACGTTGTAATTCTCTGACATTATTGTTTAATAGTAAAGGCTAATATTAGAGAAATTTTGCCCGGAAATGTCAGGGGATCTTTAACGCGTCGTCAATGTGGAATACACAGAACCGCAGTTTATACCACTGACAAGGATTGAACCGGGCAAACGTGTGGGTTTAATCCAGACCCAAACCACAGTTCCAGTTGGCTTTAAGTTGTGATAGGTGTCTAGAACACTTGATTATATTTCTAGGTTGAGAGTTAGCAGTAAAATTCGTTTTATTGATCTTTGCATGCGTATAGCTTTGGTTTAACTTTGGTATGTTCATGTCTGTATAGTTAATTAGTTATGTATAGTTTTCCCGTAGCATTTATTTATTTTTTGGAATAGAAGCAATTTCTTTTATCAAACAAAGGAAGTGTTCTATGGATTAAAGCAATTTAGGAAGAGTTTCATTTTGTTAAAAAGGTAATATTAGAATCATCATTTCCGGCCTTAAAACGAATGGAAAGGATTCCCAGATTATGGCGTTTCTCTTCAAAGATAGCTTTTAAGGCAGTTGCATGACGTGATTCTAGAATTCGTTATTTTCTTCATGTTGTTTATGTTGGCATTCTGAATTTCAAATTTTGTGATTTTGGATTTATATTATAAGTTATATAAGTAAAGAAGCTATTATAATATGGACCTAACTAGGGCATTTTGGGACTAAAATGGTATGTACAATGGGTTATCAAAAGGGGAGGTAACTCGGGAAACCCCACAGCGTTAGGCAAGCGACCCTACTCCTTGTCATAAACATGCCTGGGATTAAGTCCACGACTTGCATAGATAACAAGTTTTATCATCTCCAGCGCACGCGTTAATGCGCTAGGCTATCCAATCTCATCCACCCCCACCCAACCGACCAATAGCACCTAAGATTGTTAGAGTGTCGCTCTGTATCAATACCTCGGTGTAGGTCAGTGCTAATCCTTTTATTGTCACCAGTCATTTATATTGATATTCATGTATATTTTACATAAAAGAGAATAATTTATAAGAGTGAGTTAATCCCTATAGAAATATATTGATTGGTTATTTGTGGTGTGGTTAAAATGGAAATGAAGATCTGATTTATTAACATTTTCCAAGGGTTGAATAATAGCGGCCTCCCCCTAATCTCAGTATACTACAAACGAACAAGATCATTATTTTTAGATGAATAGAGTGGATTCGCTGTGAACATTAAATAATGTTATCAGAAAATTATTATAGTAATGTTCTAGCTTAGAACATTTGTAATGAAAGGGCCTGTATTTGTAATATATGTATGTTAACCGTTAATAGGGGTGGGCGTATGCCTTTCATATTCGCCGCTAATTAGTTGGGAACACGACGTCATACGGAATATGAATGAATTAGCTATGCATATAGGTATGGTGTCATACGGAATATGACCCTTGTATTACAATCTTTGTAGAATATTATATTTGATACGGAACAAGAAATTTCTTTCAGAATAAAGAATTGTTAGCACTCTGATCAAGACAGTAAATGCAATTTTTTTTTTATTCAAAACAACCCTAGACTAGTCTTAATTATCGCAAATCAAGATTATTTTATATCGCCTTTCATCGTACGATGCGTTAATTGAACGGTACAGTATTTCTTCAACAACGATTGCTTTGAAAATTTGCTTTTGTTTGTGCATACAATTAAGTTGAACGACTCTACTGTAACTGTGTATTCAAAACAATCATGGCAATTCGAAAATTATTTTTTATCAACGGCAAAATCCTCAAAAGAGCTAACGCCGCTTTAAGAATTTATGAATATTGTAAGTCTCCAAGTTAAGTTAAAAGATAGTCGAGATATCTATATATAGTGCATAATATTATGTTGGAATGAAAGCAAACTTAGCGTTAGAATTTTGGCTTAAAGGTCCGTATACACCTAGGCCTAATTGTTGGCGATGTTTTGTCACCGACGAATAATCGTCGGACTGCTGTAAGTACGCACAAATGCACACTTTTTTTATAACACAAAACGACCTTCCCCCACCCCTTCTGACGACCATGGTGTTACCATGTAGGCTATGGCATATATACCACTGTCGTCGAGGAAACGCCTGTAACTAAAAATCAGTATGGCGTGCGCGGTGTTTGGTCTACAAGATTACCGCTGACAAGAAATAATCTTTGGTGTGAGCAGACCTTTATTTGTGAATAAAGCATCTTTAATGGCAAAGATATTATGTGCCTACGATTTTTGCCGCTCATTAGCTGGAAAGCCATAGTACGTGATATGAGTTAATGTATAGGCGTGGTTTTTAATTAGCATCTTCGCTACAGAATTATATGATTATATATACATTGTATATGGGTCATTAGGCTAGAGATCGTTATTCGATATGTTTCTGACTTTCGGTTATCCAGTTTAACTAAGGATATTTCTTTTTTTGATTGTGTATTTAGATTGATTGATTTTTGTATCTGTCCGTGTCACATTTGACATGTTAGTCTGTAGCTACGAGAACGTATCTAAAAACGTTGACACTGATGTGCTTGTTTTTAGCTACGATTTGATGCCTTTAGTTTCTGCTGGCAATCTTAATTTCTTTATTAATGCATGTAACATCTTAAAAATAAGTCAATTTTATACTATTATACCTATAAAAGTTATCCTACGTTTTGCGTATTTTGATTGGCTTTTGTACATGACATGTCAAATTTAAAATGTCCGGGAAAAGCAAGCTATTATCGCTTCGATTTAAAAGACGTGATTTGCACCTGTGTCAGGTAGGGTTAAAATATGTTTAATTGTAGTTAGATGTGGCAGGAATGTTATAAATAACAATAATCAATCGTTGTTTGAAGAATATAGAAAATCAGTTTTGCTTACGTGAATCCCGATGTAATTAGCATTGGAGTTTGCCAGTTGGATCTATCTAGTACCATCTCTTATCTAGAAACACGGAGAATTGAGAGGTGAGGTTTCTTATCCTGTTAGTCTGGTATTTTTATTCTAAAAAAAAACGTCTGTATTCGAGACATAAAATTACCCACGCTCCCCTACCTTCTCAATGCTATACCTGACACTGCCAATGTGTAAGCGGTGGACCTCGGTTTTAGGTCCCAACAATTTCCCTGTCAAGTTCTTGGGAATCGGGCTTAAATTTACCGAGGTTCTATACCCAGCCTACGCTCCGATTCGAACCATGGCATTCTATTGGAAAATCAGTGGACTACTACTACTACCACTCTAAGAACGAGGAGACTGTATGTCAAGCAGTACCCTGTGTGAAACAGGATGTTAGTATTCAGTCACGTATCTGATAAACATAAATCTTATCTCAAGTCTATGGTCGCAATTGATGTTAAGATTAAGAGGGTCTATTTTGATATTTATCATTTGTGTGGTAATATCCAGTATTTTAAAGGATAGAACATGCAGGTTATGATGTTTATGGAGATCATATCATTCGTAATGTGACTGAAGCGTTCATAGATTTAAAAGAATTCATAGAACCAGCTATCTGGGGGTATGTGAAAGGAGTAGATCTTGGACATGATATGTTTACTCTTTCTGGAACCCGATACCACGCCCCGTTTGAGGAGTTTACATAGTCAACATATTGTTTATTTTTTTTTATCCATTTTGAATATTACGTCCACTATTTGATGATAAATGGCAGTGCTTTAATTTTAGTGATCAGTGGAGCTTTGGTATTTAAATGGTGTTTTTATCACTGTTCATGATCGTTTCGCCAAATTGCAGTATAGTGGTTATAATGACAATTCAATATCATTTACGATCCTTTTTTTATATCGCTGCTTCAAATTACACGTTTATGATCGTTAGGAGATCTTTAAGTCAATATGGGGACTAATGTATATATTGTTCTGTAAATATAAATAGTAGTTAAAGATTTATTGTGCAAACTAAATACAACTGTTGGCCCATGATTAAAGGGTAGGCTTCTGTGCCATAGGTCCGGCCAAACATTGGATTTAAGCTAGATTCTATTTTGTTTTGCGATCTGGTGTTGTAATGAAAATTTGTGTTTATGTTATGCTCTGGGTAGCATATTGTTGTCCAAAACAATTTTATCCTATTTTTTCGGTCTCTAAATTGAATTTGTTTAAACCAACACAAGAAAATATTTAGCATCATACACGACAAGCTTGACATTGTTATAATAATTGTTGAACGCTGAATGCCAGTCAATATAGCAGTCAGGGTTAAATAAATCATTTTAAACTTCTTATCAGAACACCGCGTATCACTTCTCATTTTAGGATTTGTTTGTTGTGCTTTTGTGTTAAACTCACTGAGTTTGTGAATCTACTTGTGACGTTAGGGGCCGAGGCTATCTTCCACACTCTAGTCTTCGGTTTCTAATGTCAAAGTCGAAACCATCGCCTATGTTTGATAGAAGTAGCGATAGATATCTGACCCTTTTTTAGAACACCTAGTATCACATTTTATTGTACATATAGCTAACGCACCTTGGATAATTTTGATGGTCCAAATGATGTTTTTTTAATTCAATTTTATTCCTTTAACAGATATTCACACACTTATTAAGTTATTTTGGCAGGGTTCATTAGTGAAATCCACGTACTATTACACTAATTTGTATTTTTGTATTGATAGAATTTGAATTAGACCCCCGTTTAGGATCGTTAATACTATATCTCAACAGCTGTGTTATTGAACTATAATTGTGAGGAGCAAGACAGTTAAACAGTTATGAATAATAAAGGCTTTTACCTGTCAAAATATTAAAATAACACATTGACTTTGGTTCAAGTTTATATTGACATTGAAAAACAATATGGCTACTCCATTACGTATACAAGAACTCATACGTCACATTGGTGACGTTTATCCACAAAAGGTAAGTTTCACTGTTCTCTTGTTAATCGCGTAAAAGTCAAATTGTTTTTAATGGGCTTCGATGTTAGTTTGATATATACCTGTCGAAACATCACATTAATCGAAGGCACATATGAATACAAAATTTAAGTTAGATCTGGGAACACCAAAATTCCATGTTCCGGAAGATACGCCGATGTCCAGTATGGGGGCATTGGTTTTTAATTCTGCGGGGTACGTATTTTTTTTCCACTTATATGTATATAATACACACACTTTTAATAAATAATGGTAGTGTCACTTTAACAAGTATCACGTGTAGTTCGTTACTAGTAAATATATATATAATTATATACCATTACTGTTGACATGCCAAACAAGATATAATCATATACGTATTGACTTTATACCGTACAATATCCACATACCCCGCGACATCACACTTGGCCAAAGCAGACGTTAAGCAATATTCTTGTACCATACAACAGACGTCAAATGATTTATTATACAAACCCATTTTGTGAATTAACTGACTCTCACGAGTTCCGGTAGTTTATATTTATATATATATATATATGTATCATCGTGTTGGTAAGTCATTTCTTTGAAGCTGTTTGTTTGGAAGGGATCTGGGAGCTATTGGACACAATACTAACATAAATGTTTGGGATAGGTAATGGGCTCAACATTGAGGTACAGGGTCCCAGAAAGTAAAGGATATAACAACACTCCAAATTCCCAAACAACAAGGCATATCTCTAACAATGACTTTTATCTTGAGCTATACCTTAGGAATAAGTGTTCACGTGTATCCGATACTGAATTGTTACACTATAGTATATTAAGGTCATTATTATTATTATTCATCTTCTATAGCGCTTCATTAGATCCGGTGATATTCCTAAGCGCTTAACAAATAGCACATCACAGTTTGTAATAATATTTAAACAAGTGTGTTTTTAACTCCGATTTAAATTTAACAAAAGTTGAACTTGCTCCAATTGATCTTGGTAGCTTATTCCACATATGGGCACCATTTATAGGGAAAGATAAGTCTCTTGTAAGCAGGCACATATAGTAAAGTAGTATCTGTGGACGAACGAAGATTCGGTCTTTCCTGTTTGTAGAATGTGAATAATTGTTTCATGTAGAAGGGAGCAGTATCCGAAAACAAAGCTTTATACACATTTGATAGCACTTTAAACTCGATCCGGGCTTTCACAGGCAGCCAATGAAGACTTTTAAGAGTTTATGTTACATGATCTCTAGAAGATGACTTGGCAACTAGTCGAGCACAGTTATTTTGTACAACTTGAAGACGGTTGAGGGAGAAATCTGGAATGCCAGCCAGGATTCCATTTCCATAGTCCAACTGAGATATGACCAGTGCTAATACAACTCTAGCACATGAATCTTTAGTAAGATACCTCCTGATTCTGGATATTGGCTTTAATCTCATGTACATTTTACACATAGTATTGTTAACCTGTGGGATGAGAGACATTGTCTTGTCCATGATGAAACCAAGATTTCGTGCTTTACATGATGGTGAAATTTCGGTATCGCCAATGTTTAACTTTGGTGAAAAGTTGAAACTGTTCAGTTTTGATCTATTAATATATTAAATCAAATACTTGATAATCGTTCCCTCTAGGGTGGGTTTATTTCTGCAGCGTGGGGATGAGAAGTGAAAGTGGGTATTCAATACTTCAAGTAAAAGTTACTAAAACCTAAACAGGGAATCTATCTAGTTCAGCTGGTATTCACTGGAGTGCTGAAAAGTACAAAGCAAATATTTTGATATGATACTGCTCAACCACAATCTGGTTAAAACACAGATCCTATTTCGTTTCGTTTTTATAGTTCAAAATTTCGTTTTACTTGTCTTTACTACACTTGGATCTGGAAGAATTGTTATTTAACTCGTGTTCTGAATGGTGTCAGGGATAAGCCAATGAAACGGTCTGTTATGGCGAGCTTTAGGCGTGTTTTTCACGGAACTATGGGTAATCCACTAGTAACATCAATGCTGATTGGTTAATCAAATGTCTGACGTCATAGGGTCATAAGTCGGTCTTTTGACCCCTGACGTGACCTATCGCTATAACTTGTCAGATCTTCACGTAGTGTAGGCCATCGAAAGTATAAAAAACGAAACGAAATATAGATCTGTATTTTAATTAGATTGGCTCAACCATATCCAATGTTTTTTCTCTTTTTTTTTTCAGAAATATGATTCTCTGGTCACAAATACTCTCGGGTAAATTAGCTTAGGTGGAATAACTCTGTAGTGTCTTTTCATTTGTAATATTTTAGATTTGTATTTTATTTGTAATATATTACAGGTTGTCAACCACAAAAATAAATTAGATCCACTTTACGACAACCATCGTCCAGGGGTATCTAATATGGCGTCTATTGGTAGTACTCAGGTGAAACCTCTAGATTTAGTTGATATAAGAAAAGAACAGAGGCGTCTGGCTGCTCTGCTTGAAATAAAAACCAGGGATCCGCTTTTTGCTGTAAGTATAGCATTATCTTTTTCAATATTCCACAATATCTTCCAGCACAGACACTCAGATGCTTCATTTGTATCAGGTCAGTGGTGCAGGACGGAAGGTTTAGCTGGCAACCAATGACAGACAGTAGGAATCTAGCTGATGTCCGGACAAAATATAGCCCATCCTCATTAGCCCGGTGGTGCAGAAAAGTAGGTCGTAGGTACCCCCTAACAAACCCCGCATGTGAATTGAATAACAAGATTGTTCACTAATATCGACTGATAATGTTTAGATAATCTACGTTCGCCTTAAACGATAAATCTTACCATAAGAAACTAAAGGGAAATATCATTTTTATAAAGCTTATTTTGAAATAACGCGTTGGCCTGAGATCAGCACCACAGTTATAGATTATTGCTGTATAGCAGTTCATAGCGTGGCTGTACCTTTTACGGCATCTGCATTCACCATTGTCAAATTGGCATGTGCAAGACGGACCCTTTCTCGTTCTATGTTGGAAAGTAAGCATATCCCATACGTCCACACAAAAACACAATTTAACAATAAATGTCTTTTGTTTTATCCTTTTTTCAGGTTCCAAAATATCGCCCAGCACCGAAACGCAAATGTATTATCTGTAACTTGCCTAATGCTGATCGTAGGTTATTCAATGGACCACTCCCCTACACCCATAGAGGTATAGTTATACCTAGAGTACCTGACCCATCATTTGTGAACGAATGTGATCATGATATTCCAGAAGATGACGAAGTTAGGTTCATTAATAATTTACGGACCGTAGGAGATGGGACTTTTAAATTACCGTCACTAGAAGCACAAGCATTAGCTGAAAAACATTCAAAAGACTTCAAACAAGATCGATTCAAACTCCCACCAGTGTTTGATAAAGACAGCAGTACAACTGACAAGGGTCGCTTACTGGCGTTAACGAGTGACAGAACATTTATGGACACTTCTGTGGGTAATGAGAATTATCTGGATTTAACTTCACGTCAAACGTCTCAATCACTTATTTTGCCCAGAATTTATGAAGCATCAGCTATGGGTACTGTAGATGAAGCCCAAATTGACCATCGCCGCAGGTTTTTCTCGGAACCACACGTGTATTCAACGATGACTAAGGCGCACCCGAAAAATAGCCGTAATGATCGATCGCAGCCAGAATGGTCCGAATTCTCAAAAGATCAAGCAGAAATCAGAGTACTTCGTTATCATCATCGTCAAGATAGTGATATTCTTCCGGTCCCTCAAAACTCGCCGGATAAATTTGACGACGAATTCAAAGAAAATGGCATGAAATATCGTCATCAATTGAATAGTGCTTCGGATAAATCTTCTTCCAAGCGAACCTCGAGGGAACAATCATTTGATTTCGTCCGCGAAGATGTGTCTTCCTCGTATTCAAGCGAAACAACTTTTGGTGAATCTCCGAGCAATTTTATGTCTCGCTTGCAATCTGCATCCTGGTGCGAATGCTCCAACGTTGACTTGAGTCGGTTACGCTGTTCGGAATGCTTAAAGATAGGTGGCCACCAGCGGTGGTGTGTGTCGAAATTGGGTATATGTTCTCAGTGTGGAAAGGCTGTGAAGAGTACCATGAGTATTATAGGTGAAAGGCGTTTAAGCCGTTCACCATCTTTCACACTGAGAAAGGGGAGTCGAGGAAACTCTTCAACTGTTACCGCAAATTACGAGAGAAATGCTCTTTCCTCACTTAAACCCCAGAGTTCAGAGTTGAAAGTTCGCTTCTCCGACACTGATGACGTAAGATCTATATCTCCAATGGACGTCATGGCAATTAATGATCAATTCGTGGATGAAGTCAACGACGAAGTGACGATCTCGGAGGCGGAAACCAAAGTAGTAGAAAAGTTTATCGATGTACCATTAGGAAATAAGCCCAAAAAAGTATTTAAAAAGTCTTTGTTCGATGCCAATATCCATAAAGCTGCCTATGAATTAGCACTTTCTGACTCACGAGTAATGAAATACAAAAAGGATAAAAATTTGTCTCGAAGCTTGAATAATTCAGTGTCGGGATCATTGTTTTCGTACTTTCCAAAATTGCGGTATCCAGCATCTAGGTCTGTTGCTGCAGACACGATTGGGCTGCGAGATCCAGATGAAAACAAACGCAGCAAAGTTAAGGTTCAAAAGGCAATGAAACACATATTTAGTAAAGTTAAAGTTGACGATTATTATCCTAAAATGAAAGACAGTAAGACAAAAAAGTTAAAATAGCGTATGTACGTATTTTGTGAAATATTGGGTGTGCTTATTTACATGCGGGTAACTTAAAATTTAACAAAACGGGTACAGCATATTAATCTCTTTTTTAATGCCATACTACAAATCTTGTGCTTGAGAGTACATTTTACCTTAGTGACGGGTTGTTGCAAACAAATATCTCCTTTTTTACCTAAAATATGTCGCCAATGTATGTATGTATGTAGATTTTTGTTTCAATAAACCTCTGAGAGGTAATTTATATTATACAAACGATGTGTTTATATTTCCGGCAGTATTGACCTTAATGATACTTGCTTTAAAAGACAAAATCTAAGCTTAAATGACAATGGTAAAAAACAAAATAACAGTAATAATATCTAGATATAAATTTAATCATCTTATGCTTTTTATTATCCGAAATTTTACATGTTTTATTCTAATTTTTATAATCTTGTAAATTATGACTTTGGTCTGGGATTAAAGTTTAACTTGACATTATTATTATTGTTTTATTTCATACACTAAATTAATCCAAACTTTGACTGAAAGTGAGAGGAAGATGGAAAGGGGGGTATCGGTTAAATTATCGTCAATACTTCCATCATCTTGGCACTAACATATGGAATTTATTTCTATGAATGCCTGTGCCATGTTGGGAGTGGGGGCTAAAGAGTGATTGGATTCTTTTGTGTCCTTCAGTTCTTGTCGGCAACGACCCCCTTTGAATACTGAAGGGTGTTTCAGGGTTTATAAAGCTTATAATGCCTTGTACTATTATAATCTGTGGTTTAGGATTACTTTTGAACAAATTAAATGATATTTTATTCCTGCAGTCTGATTATAAAATGTTGTTTTTAGATTAGTTTTTCTACTTCTTATATTCATATTTGATACTTTATATTTTTCGGAAAGTACTTTTACTTAACATGTGAAATGTTATTATTGTGTCCTGATCTAATTGTGCACTGTAAACAACCAATGGAAGCACTGCGGTTCCAATCACGCTATCGAATCGACCACAGTTAGCGGAACATATCAGAACCACACAGACGAAACGAACTGAAGATGTGATTTTAATTTGCACGTGCATTCCTACTGAACGAACCTAACAGATATTTACGAAATTTCGCGTATTTTTATAACATAAAGGCAGTTATAAGGAAAGATAATAATATACCCGGTTATGTTATGAATTTAATCACTTGTTCTTTTTTTTTAATTCGATACAATTTCTTTGATGCAGGATTATAATATTATCTTATCAGGGTAATTAATTTTTATTATTATCCGAACTATCAAATATTTATCATGTTATGTTCGCACTGTTACTGTACTGAATATACACGCATCATATGTCCGGGTTTTTAATCACGGCTGGGCCAGAAATGATTCCAGTCCTGTAGCCACCACAGACAATCAAACCTTCATACGAAAGTTACGCTGCCTGTCTGAGATAAACCCCGCTTGAGACCAGACACGAAGCTAATTGACCGACATTTTAATTCCTATATCAACGATTTTGGTCGAAAAAACTAAGTATACATCAAAAATTTGAGAAGTGTTTTTTTATTCTGCTCCCATTTAATAGAATCGAAAATATTTATTTAGTCTTAGTGGGTGTGAAAGATGTACAAGGGATTAGAACCACATTACAAACTAATGCACTAATTTTTGAATATGGCGGCCATTCGGGACAGAGATCTATTCTTAGAGTAGATAGTTCTCTGTGTGCCGAATACCAAAATTTATGTAAATAAAAATAGAAAAAAAGGTACAGTCCGTACCGCAAAGAATTTCTAAAGAAAATATTTATGTAGACGGATTAGTTAGTCTCCAAATGCAACAATACGCCTAGACGAATATAAAAAAACTGAATTAAAACAAATCTGCAATAGGCTTGTACACGTCATGCAGTTGTTGCAAATGTCCACCATGACCTTTCCTTCTATAGATCACCATGTTACGAAACTAATAAGGAAATTACAAGCAAGTACAGTTCTCTTTATTTGGCAGAAATAAAAAAAGTCACTACATATATCCCTTAATGTGTTTACATACCCACGCGATGTTTCTCAGTTGCCCAGGCATATTAATTGAACTTAGGTTTTGGTTCAAGGTCCGTACTTTCTTCTTGGGGGCATTGCCTGCTTTCCTTCTAGTTGACAAGTGTCGCGAAGTCATTCGGATGGTATATACAAGCGATATCCTCCTGTATAGACATTGGCATTCAGATAAACACTTCTCTGACAATAACTCGAATAACAAAACATTGAAATGTTCTTACTGCTTAGGTAGATGCGCACTTCCAGTTTTACACATCGCACGAAAACAGCCAAATTTCTGATAAGTTCATTCAAATTAAAATCATATACAAAATATTTAATAGACAAAAACCCATACGAATAGTAATTATCTGATATGTGCGTACGGGCACGATGTATGTTGGGGTGGGGGTGGGGGTACAGACGGGGACGTAATATCAGAGCTTACCACGTATTGCCTCCCCACGAAAGTTTGGAAAATTCTTCGGCCGAAAACGCGTTTTCTTGCTATTCCAACCCGTGAATACAACTTCAACGTGGTCCAATATAGTCCAAACAACTAATCAATCGTGTAGTCAAGGGAGCGCCAGTGGCGCTGGGTATTGGCTACTCGACCTCCCAGAGAAAATTTTGAAAGTGTAAAATTAGCGTCTTATCAGACGTCAGGCACTTTATTTTGCCAACCATATTGCATCATAACTTTTTACAACTTTACCCGTCTGCCCGAAAAGTCAAAATGCCAATAGTTAGGGGTCAGCGCCCCCTCCCCTCTCCTGCCTGGTACGCCTATGCTCAGGACTAAATTCTGATAAAACGTGAACTATGAATGGGGTTCTAATAAGTGTCAAATTAGCCCGGGTCTACTTGATACAAATGTTTATTGTTTAGCTTGTATTGGGTAGAAAAAAAAGGACATCTACAAAATTGAACAATTTTATGTAGTTGTAAATCACGTGATCGTGTCACATGTTAAGACAAACCATTTAAAAGGTAGAACAACCGGCCGGTAAAAGACACCCATTATTAAAGTTTAAACGTGACTTTTGGTCCAAAATAATTATTTCACTCAACTGGGTGATGGATTTTTTAGACTTTCTGTTAGCGTTTGGATTTCTTGCCCAAACAGTCCAAGGTAGGGTTGTTTTCTTTTCTAACACTAAGTTTCTCTACATTAATATTTCTAATTAAAAGGAAAGTGAAGACGCAAAAGGTTTTCTAATACAGACCTATGCTTCATATACACAATTTTATATTTCACAGAAAAGGAATACCATGCATAAGCCCAGGAACGCCCATTAAACAATTTGCTGCCCCCGGGTTCGAATCTAGTCTAGGCGAAAACAATACTTTTGGGATTTTTTAAAGTCGAAGAGGAGTTGTCTTTAATGGTCAAAGACATTTCTGTGGAATACACATTACCGTGATAACATTTGTCGTTATTTGAGAATTATCTGGTTCGATTGTTTGAAAACTGTCGGGTGTTGAAAACCCCGAGGGATAGGATAATGAATGATATGAATCAAGACATCAAATCAGGCAACCAACGCATTTTTTATGCTCTTATTTTTGTTTGTTTAGAAAACAAATACCTTTAGAGGGAAAGTGCCAATTAAGATCTTTAAGCAGTGGATCATATAAAAAGTCGGATTATTAATACAGATTTAAAAATATATATATTTTTTTTTTACATAATATTGTTTTTGTTTAAGAAGACATCATTTGTATGAAATTATAAGTGTGCAGGGGCTTATTATCACCATCATACCCTAATCGCCTTCATTTTCAGCTGTTCCAAAATGAAACAACATTAAGTTTAAAGTTCATCACATAGACCATAAGACCTTGTTTTGTTGGTTATTTGTTTTCATTTGTCGTTCGTTTACTTTCTGCAGTCAACTGTCCATACCTTCATTGTGTTGTCAATGTTCAGTTCTTTCACTGTATAGTATATTGATAGAAATAAAGTTTTTTGTATCTTGTTCATCCAGTCTTGCCGAGCACTCTTAAACTGAAATAGACAAGAGGGAAACTACGTATTCCTTGGTCTGACCTTCCACAAACAATTAACAATAACTTGTAATGACTCAGGGTAGCTTGTTTCATTATTATAAGTAAAAACTGTGTTTTAGACTTTGTAGTCTAGCTGGTATATATAGTTTTTATGTACCTGACTATGTTGTAATATGTTGTTGAAAGTTACCTGACATTTAGGTGTAAGAAAACGTTTTCACGTGGTTACGAGGAAGTTAAACGATCTCAAACCACATTAAAGGAAATAGTTTAACTACCTCTCTATCATCCTAACAATAAATAGAAACAATGACAGATTCTATATCAAGTTTTAATATATATTTTTTGAGACGTATCCTTTCAAACGGCACCCTCGGTTAAAGAGCCAGGGCGAAACCTAGCAACAATAAATTGGAATAGGTAGATAAACTTCCAATAGCTAATCAGATTTGACCGATTTGTTAAAACATTTTGATAGCCTTGGTTTTAAACCTTTCTTGAACCGCCTGTCATTCGAGTGTTTATGCTCCGGGAAAGTATATTGTTAGATCCTTTAAACTGAGCCAAGTTACATACCTAATTTGGAAGAGACACTGTAGATCTGGTGTCACGGGTACCGGACATTAGATGCTCGCTGTAGACTGGGTCCGTGAGAGGGTGGAACAGCTGGGACACTTGTCCAGGGGACCGGGGGTATGCCAAGTAATGTTTTAAGAAAAAGTGCTGGTATAAATTAATAAAATTACTTGATTGTAAAGTAAGAGAAAACCAGTGTTTTTTTCTGAATGTGGGTACCCAGTGGCGTGGGTAGGATTATAATCGGGTTCTATTAGTTAATTTCTTGGAAAAATTAATGAATTAAAAACTATAAGCTATTTAACCACACTCTCGTCGCCGTCGGGGTATCCGGGCCCGGCAAATAATCAGGGCGTATAGCCCGGGCTTGTAAAACTCTACAAGGATAGTGAGCGCCCCAGTGTTGCGCTCTGCCGCCAGTGATCATGCACGCGGTTATCGTTTACTCTAGGTAGACTGACTGTATCCGATCATTATAAACGAAACTGAAATCGAATCTTTTACTTTCGTCTTCATTTCGTTAGGCGCTAAAAATCTCGATGCTTTTCGATATTCGTGCTCATTGCGGACTTTTTCCCGACAAGTGTGGTTTAGCAAAGCGACCGCCAATTACCCATGCAGATAAACGCCAAATGACGCTAGAGACCATGTATATTTCAAAAGACTCCGATCCCCTCGCCAAGTTTCTTGTCTCACAGCCCGGATGACCCTGGCGCGGGCCGTAGCTGTAGTGTACACTTTATCCAAGGGGGGTTGGATGGCCGAATGGTAAGCACGTGCGCGCTGTAGCAGAAGGTATGTCACTGAGTCAACTGGCGTGGTTTCGATTCCCCGGTTGTACGTGACATTGGGTAGGGTCGCCTGTCCAACCTCGTGGGTTTTCTCCGGGTCCTCCCACTGTTACATACCCCTACGCGCAAGCGAATTTATTGAAATAAAATTGAACCGTGTGTTAGTCCCGAAATGACCTAGTTTGTGTCGAGTAGACATTAAACTCTCCCTCTCTCTCTCTCTCTCTTCTCTCTCTATCTCTCTCTCAGAGCATAACTGAGTATGGTGACAACCCGCAACACCGGTACCAATATAGTTCCTTTCAGAAAGGTGTCTGATTGGACTATGAAAATACCGCCCTACCCCCACCTCTGTTCTAACGCTATTGGAGACCCTACCGTCTATTTTTCACTGTGATTTTTCTTTGTTTGCCATGGAATAATTTCTCGCCAAATCTGACACACAATTATAATAATTCAACATGTGTGAATTGGTCCGGCACTACACTATAAAACTCGCCCTTGGGCGGAAAACTAATACCAACAGGTCAGGCGGCAGTCAAGCAACTTATCAGAGTGCGAACTGAACATGCAACCACGTGCTTATAGATCTATCGCACCCTAATCGCTCCGTGTTTTTATTCAACTTAATTACCTTCTACTTAAAACAGACTTGTCAAAATTTGCTGAAGTCATGATCTGACATTTCACTGGCCAAACAATTTTTCATTCATAGCAAGTTTAAAGTGACGACCTTTCAGATATAATCACCAAGGAATGTCGTTTTAAATCAACTAAGGTTATTATGGTCAATGCATGGTATGTCGCACCACATGTTCTTAGAGCCATTGGCAATGGACAGTCCGAGTCCCCCTTCAACCTAGAGTTTATTATGTCTTCTGCAAACCGGGACCATCAAATTAGCAAATAATTCCCCAAAACTGTGTATAGAGGTTTGTCGTTTTGCTAATAACTATGCTCCTTTGGTGTGTGTATGTGTGTGTGTGTGTGGGGGGGGGGGGGGCGACTCCCTAAACTATTGTATTTCTCTTACGCTTAAGCGAATTAGTGAAATAAAGATGTACCACCAACGTTAGTTACTTTGCTGTCAAGGACCTTTACGCCGAAGTGCATCAGCGAATAAAGATTAGCAAATGCTACCCCGGACGTCAGCTAGTTTGTGTTGAGGTGACGTAAAAGCCCATTTCTCTCACCTTGTTGGTGAACTATTTGTCGTTATAATACATAGACACAACGTAACAAATTTATCACCGAGTCCAGCCGATTTTAGATGGAAGAATAAGCTTCTCTTGAAAAGTAAAAAAAAAAAAAAAATAGTCCAAGTTGTCATACTAAGATTAGTATAAATCCACTCGAAATCCATGCTTAGACTTTATTCAGCAGTCCCATAAACAGCATGACGTGACACTTACTTCCGGTGTCTTACGTGACCTACTGACCCCTTCCTGTTAGTTATATAATCCCTGGCAATGACTGGATCAATGTACCTTTGTTACATTTGGGTATTCCACAAACATTAGGCTGTCGTCTGCGTCACAATACGATTATCCAAATTCTAGACCATGCCTGGTTATTAATATAGACAAAAAGTTACAGAACAGTACAGAACGAAACGGAATGGAATGAAATGGTGGGAGTGATGGGGGATTAAAGGGCTTAAATCTCAAACTCATATTTTACCATGAGTGGGCCCCTGATATCAAATATTTAAGACGGGTACCGGACATTAGATGCTCGCTGTAGACTGGGTCCGTGAGAGGGTGGAACAGCTGGGACACTTGTCCAGGGGACCGGGGGTATGCCAAGTAATGTTTTAAGAAAAAGTGCTGGTATAAATTAATAAAATTACTTGATTGTAAAGTAAGAGAAAACCAGTGTTTTTTTCTGAATGTGGGTACCCAGTGGCGTGGGTAGGATTATAATCGGGTTCTATTAGTTAATTTCTTGGAAAAATTAATGAATTAAAAACTATAAGCTATTTAACCACACTCTCGTCGCCGTCGGGGTATCCGGGCCCGGCAAATAATCAGGGCGTATAGCCCGGGCTTGTAAAACTCTACAAGGATAGTGAGCGCCCCAGTGTTGCGCTCTGCCGCCAGTGATCATGCACGCGGTTATCGTTTACTCTAGGTAGACTGACTGTATCCGATCATTATAAACGAAACTGAAATCGAATCTTTTACTTTCGTCTTCATTTCGTTAGGCGCTAAAAATCTCGATGCTTTTCGATATTCGTGCTCATTGCGGACTTTTTCCCGACAAGTGTGGTTTAGCAAAGCGACCGCCAATTACCCATGCAGATAAACGCCAAATGACGCTAGAGACCATGTATATTTCAAAAGACTCCGATCCCCTCGCCAAGTTTCTTGTCTCACAGCCCGGATGACCCTGGCGCGGGCCGTAGCTGTAGTGTACACTTTATCCAAGGGGGGTTGGATGGCCGAATGGTAAGCACGTGCGCGCTGTAGCAGAAGGTATGTCACTGAGTCAACTGGCGTGGTTTCGATTCCCCGGTTGTACGTGACATTGGGTAGGGTCGCCTGTCCAACCTCGTGGGTTTTCTCCGGGTCCTCCCACTGTTACATACCCCTACGCGCAAGCGAATTTATTGAAATAAAATTGAACCGTGTGTTAGTCCCGAAATGACCTAGTTTGTGTCGAGTAGACATTAAACTCTCCCTCTCTCTCTCTCTCTCTTCTCTCTCTATCTCTCTCTCAGAGCATAACTGAGTATGGTGACAACCCGCAACACCGG